AAAAAAAAAGAAAAAAAAAAAAAAAAAAAAAGTCACTGCAATCATCTAAACAAGAAAAAGCCACGATCATCTAAACGATAGTTTGCTAGAGCAACCCACGACAATCATCTAAACGAGAAAAAGTCATGATCATGCTAGAATGTCAATTGCAAAGTAAGTAGTCAAGATTGCCACAAATCATCATAAACAACATTACTCTTACGCTTAGGATTTTCGCCAATGGGGTAGAGGAGGGAGGAAGAATTTTTTTTACCAGAGAAGAACAACTTTTCGGCGAAATAGAGGAGCAATGGCTGGGCGAGGTTGATGGAAAAGCTAGTGCGACGATGGGTGTTAGCAACGAGGGCAGAGGTGTAAAAGCTGGTGTGTGAACCTTGTACGCAGGAGATTATCACAATCCATATTTAGTTCAACAGTAAAACACTTCTTAAAAACGCTACCAAAACTACGAAAATGCACGAACCAAACAATGGGTCAGCCTTTTCAAAAAGGTCGCCGTACTTTTAAGCTGCCCCAAACGGGCCCTAAAATATGATAAATTTGATCTGATGTGAAATATTTGGGGTAAATAAATGTAAAAAATAAAATTGAGGTGGCAGCTATTTAAATACAAGGAATTGGGTGATGTGCATGTAAATGCCCCCACGAATTAGTACTTTAATTAAAATCTCTTTAACAGATTAAAAAAAAAAAAACTAAGAAAATTGAAAGGAGTCTCTTAGAATTGACATGTTTTATTCAATAATAACTTTTATGAACAAGATGCTTTCATCTCAAATAAAGGTAGATTGAAGCAATGATTAATGCCATGTTGATGAGATTAAAAAATTGTGCTGGGCTTAATGTCATCATTAGGAGTCGAAAATATATTATTTGATATTACATAACAACGTTTTAGTTAGTAAACTAAGAAATATATAAAAGTTGCTCAAATACACGAAAAAATATTACATTAAAACTCCACACGCAAAATTACATATCAAGCCCAGTGATTTAAATAACGAGTCCAATAAAATCACGTCGCGGGAGGCAATGATAAAATAATTAAAAAAAACAAAAATCTATTACACAAAAACATATTCCTCTCATACTGTTCAAGTGTTTATTATATCTTATTCAAATATAATTTATGTTTTATTATGTTATTATAACATTAGGAATATTCCCAAAACACAATAACATATGAATAACATATAATAACACTTAAATAACACGGAAAAATATTCCGCCATGTTACCCGTCCGATTTTTTTTACGTGATTTCATCGGACTCTGCACATAACTACGTGCAAAATCCTGATGTAATATTTTTTTCCAAATACACAACACATTTTTTTTCATTTCCATCAAATTTTAATGATTTCTCAAGTCTGGCAATCACACAAGCCATCAATAACCATAACGCTAATGGAAATAATCCATCACTAACCATAACGCTAATGAAAATAATCCATCACTAACCATAACAATGAAAACATTAATCAGTTTTGACGCATCAACTTTTAGAACACAAAACTAACCAACAAAAATGTATTTCAAGGTAAACATTAGAGCAGGATACTAAGCCGCCAGAATATAACCATGGCACTACCATCTGACATAGTCCCAAGTTGCAGACAAACCAAACCGCAAGACTGATTTAAAGAAAAAAATAATAATAATAGTAATAAAACTAGATGGAAAAGTCTCGAATTGCCTCAATTAGTCCACCTCCTCCATCTTGCTGCCCTCCGCATCATCATCAAGAGGCGGCATGTCAGTGTCTGCATCTCCAGCGGTTTCCTCTTCATCAATGCTGAGACCCAACTTCAACATCCTGTGAATTCTGTTGCCGAAGGTGTTGGGATCATCCAGACTGAAACCAGAGGTGAGAAGAGCAGTTTCGAACAGCAGGAGCACAAGGTCCTTTACGGATTTGTCATTCTTGTCTGCATCAGCTCGCTTTCTAAGCTCCTCCATTATTGGGTTCTCGGGGTTGATTTCCATCGTCTTCTTGCTCGACATGTATCCCGACATGCTCGAGTCTCTCAATGCCTGAGCTTTCATTATCCTCTCCATGTTAGCAGTCCAACCGTACTCACCGGTGACCAAGCAGCAGGGGGAATCGACCACACGGTCAGAGACGACAACCTTCTCCACCTTGTCACCTAGAACATCTTTGATAACCTTGCACAGACCTTCAAACTTCTGCTTCAGGTCTTCCTTCTTCTTCTTCTCGTCTTCAGATTCATCTAGCTTCAATCCCTCCTTTGTTGCAGAGATCAATTTCTTGCCCTCAAACTCCTTCAACTGACCTACTGCATACTCATCAATGGCCTCCACCATGAAGAGTACTTCATAGCCCTTCTTCTTCAGCTTCTCCAGGAATGGAGAGTTTTCTACAGCCTTCTTGCTCTCGCCAGTGATGTAGTAGATGTCACTCTGGCCTTCCTTCATCCTTGTTACGTAGTCCTTCAGGCTGGTTAGCTCGTCTCCACTCTTGGTGGAGTGGAACCTCAACAATTCGGCAATCTTGTTTCGGTTCTGAGAATCCTCATGAATACCGAGCTTGAGGTTCTTTGAGAAGGCCTCGTAGAACTTGTTATAGTCTTCCTTGTTTTCGGCTATCTCGAAGAACAGATCAATGCATTTCTTCACGAGATTCTTGCGGATGACCTTAAGGATCTTGTTTTGCTGCAGAGTTTCTCTCGAGATGTTCAGAGGAAGGTCCTCTGAGTCAACAATACCCTTCACAAAACTCAAGTATTCTGGAATCAATTCCTCACAGTTGTCCATGATGAAGACCCGGCGAACATAAAGCTTGATGTTGTTGAGCTTCTTCCGGGTGTCGAAGAGGTCAAAGGGTGCTCTTTTAGGGACAAAGACAACAGCTTTGAACTCAAGCTGACCCTCAACAGCGAAATGTTTAACAGCGAGATGTTCCTCCCAGTCATTGGTGAGGCTCTTATAGAAAGCAGCATACTCTTCCTTGGTAATCTCTTCAGGTTTCCTCATCCAGATAGGCTTCTGTTTGTTAACCAGTTGCCACTCATATGAAACCTCCTTGATCTTCTTTTTCTTTTTTTCCTTATCTTCCTTCTCTTCATCAATGTCCTCAACCTTGCCTTCCTCAGCATCTTTCTTATCTTCCTCATCCTCATCATCAGAAATCTCCTTTTCAGTGGTCTTCTCAGTCCATAGTGAAATGGGATAGCTGATAAACTCAGAATGCTTCTTGACAAGATCTTTCAAGCGGCGCTCTTCAAGATAATCAAGCTAGTAAAAGCAGAATCAAATCAGGTATTAATTAGCTATTATGTGGATTTGTAAATCCAAAAGAATTTCTTAAAAGAACATAAAATGTAGCTACTCCTAGACCAATCTCATCTAATGGCTGATAAAAACAATCAGACAAAAGTGACCTTTATAGCCAGTGCACGATTACACGTAAATGCATAATTATATCCACCAAAAAATATCAACTAATTAAAATTATGAACGATACTTATGAAGGATGGATACGATTACGCGCCTTATACACTAAACATTAAGATTACAAACTGTGGTTTAATCAACAGATCCAACTCAAATGGAGAGAACACAGATAAAATGGACAATGGACGAGATAAATTTTAAATTGAAGAAAATTAAAGCAGCACAGCTATAGTTTAAGTGATGAAAGCTGGTGTCATAGAAGAAACAATTCTATATTATGTGCAAGCCAAACAAATCCTATGCAATGAAACAGACAACGGGTTTTACATGATATGTATTCTCTTGTTAATAAATTCTATAATATGTGCAAGACAAACAAATCCCATTCACTGAAACAAACAACGGGTTTACATGATATGTATTCTCCTGACAAGAAGATTATACCAACAATCTAACATATAAGAACAAAAAACGGTGTAGTAAACATCAGCAGCAAATCAAATGAACAAATAACTTCAAAACGATCATTGAATAGATATAACAGATTGTATAATTAGAATCAATTTAAACTAAATCAATTCATATTGCCAAAAATAACCAATTAGTCCTCAACAAACCTATCGTAACAACCACAAGTAATTGTATAATAAAGAAATTTATCTAAATTTCCCGATTTCTGTGTTCTTTATGTGGGGCAAGTAAAAGAAAACAAACCAGGGAGTCAAATTAGTCTAATGGACCCATAATTCAAATTAATTCTAGTGCAACCAATTTTATGTCCATTAATTCTCGCACATAAAGCAGTCAGCCATAAATCCCAGCATCTAGAAACTATCGCAAATAAATACAGACAATTTGCGACGTGCGAATGTAAGCACAATTCAGACTGGTAAAATTAAAGAATTGGCAAGCGAACATATCTTTACCTGGTCATCCTTGAGGAAAAGGGTAATCTTGGTTCCCCGTCCAAGATTCTCCCCAGAGGTATCCCTGGTCACAGTGAAAGACCCTCCAGCCTGCGACTCCCACACATACTGCTCATCATCATTGTGCTTTGTAGTTACAACAACTCTCTCAGCAACAAGATAAGCCGAGTAGAATCCGACACCAAACTGACCAATCATGCTAACATCAGCACCAGCAGCAAGAGCCTCCATAAACTCCTTCGTGCCCGAACGCGCGATGGTACCAAGGTTGTTCACGAGATCCGATTTCGTCATACCAATTCCGCTATCAATAATCGAAAGAGTATTCGTAGCCTTATCAGGAACGATATGAATGAACAGCTCCGGCTGGGCGTCCAGCTTGCTTTTGTCCGTCAGACTCTCAAATCGGATCTTATCCAACGCCTACCAACAGAAAAACCATAAAAAAAAGCCTTAGATCCATGGATCACGCAGGCTTAGATGCGAGAGAGAAACAAGACTTACATCGGATGAGTTGCTGATGAGCTCTCGAAGGAAGATCTCCTTGTTGGAGTAGAAAGTGTTGATTATGAGGCTAAGAAGCTGATTGATCTCAGCCTGGAAGGCGAAGGTCTCGCTTTCTGCCGCCATGGCTGCCTTCAAGCAAGCAAGAGAGTGCAAGAAATCAAAAGAAAGGAATTGAAAGGAGCAGATCAACAAGTATAGCGGTGGCTAGGGTTTGGGAGAGTTGGTTCCATTTAATAGTGGAAATGGAGAGGTTCTAGAGTTTTCTGAAGGCCGGATCCGACGAATGCGTGGGACCCATAATTTTATTTTCTTTTATTTATTTTTTTTTATTTTAGATGTTTCTAGATTATGAGTTATTAATTAACGTGTAGGGGGTAAGATTTAATTTAAAAGGTAGCGAGTGGTACAAGAGGAGGTTATTGAGAGGTTATTGAGATGTTATTAAGTTATTAATTTCAATAACATATAAATCCAATAAACTTAGCTGGTTCTATTTCAATGTTATTCATAGGTTAGCTGGTTCTATTTCAATGTTATTCATAGGTTATTACGAAGGTATATATTAATTGAGTACGCACGCAGAACTGCGTGCGTATTCCGTACGTAAATATTTTCCCATTGGAAAAAGGTATTTTTTGCTCTGAAAAAATTAAAAATTCTAAAAGAGTATTAAATTAAATAGAATTTAGAAATATTAAATCAGAAAGTAATGTATAATTTGATGTGTTTAATAAAAATTTATTTGAAATATTTTTTTTATTGGATTTAATAAAATTGGACTTAATAGATGGAAAAAGCAAAAATTAGATTTAATTTAATGACGGATTTATCTAAACTATTTATATTATTTGGCTTGATTTTACATTAAATCTATTTAATCCTATTAAAAGTGTTTGATATCATAGTTTTAATAAGATTTAGACATAAATTAATGAAAATTAAATTCAAAAGTTAGTTAAATCAAAATTTCTATCGTCGAAAGTGAACTCCATCTCGAGATTTATTAAGTTTAATTGTGGGGTGGATTTAAAGGATTCATTCCGTCGTTGCAAGCGAGCTCCATCTCTGCCAGAAAGGGTTTGATAAATCCGAATTTACTCGAAATTTACAAATCCTATCTAACGTAAAATCAGGATATTCTCCATTTTATTAATTGTAAGTTGTTTGTTGTACATCATTTAGAGAAGTTTTTTGGATTATGCGTCTTGTATGACATTGAAGAAGTTTGAGTTTAGATTTTACATTTTGGTGAATGGATTTATGTGTTTTTTTTTTAAAGATGTTCTTAATGTTAGATAAATATTAGAAATTATGTTGATATTTATTTAAATTTTTTTATAATTTTAAACTAACACAATCCTATTGTATCTTTCTTGAGTTCATTTCGTCTGACAAGCTGGCTACAAAGGATATGAAATACTGATTTATTTGAGCCAATGTTGATTATCTTTATTGACATGCATCATTGTATTAGAACCTATCGTAATGGCGATGATGATTTGAAACTTTCATGTTTTGCTTTGATGGTGATAATTATCATGTGTTCGTATCATTAAAATTTTGAGTCGTGTCATGACATATTTTACTTGCTTTTGACGGTGTTTCTTATCTACAATTGGTTTACTATGACTTCTAAAATTGAGAAAGGCACTAAACATAAGAAAAAACAGTAATTTCCTATAATGTTGTCACTATGTGGATACATCAGTCTTGCTAACCAACATCTAAAAGGACTTTATCCAATAATATCAGTATCAAAGACCACTCAAGGTGATGAAGAGGTACAAAGACCACTTATATGACAAGCTCTTCTTAAGTAGTTTAAGCATTTTTGACAAAGATCTTTATAACTTCAAATGCACCATATTTTATATACATATATATCTCCAAGCCTACTCATTTGTGTTTTCATAACAAAGAAGTAATGGGTTCCTACATAATTCATATGTCATTTGCTTTCAAATATAATATATGTGTTTGTAGTATTGTGATGTATGAACTTTAATGTAATATAATATACAAATTGTTCTAGTACATGCAATGAAAAATATATATTCGTAGCTGCAAGAACTTTAAGGTGAGGAGGGGGTACAAAGACCACTTACGTCTCAAACTCTTCTTAGATAGTTCATATACATATATCCCTGAGGATTATTCAAGTATGTTCTCATAATAAGAGGTGATGCTTGATAAAAATAAATATAATTAAACTGCCTTTGAATTTAAACAAATTTAAGATAAAATTAAATGACTCGTACTAATCTAATAAATAAGTGAAAGACAAAATCCTAACGACAAGAGCAGCATTTCAACATGGCCCAAATAATATTTAGTATTTTCTGACAGCATTTTAACATGTCGTGAATAATTTAACAAATTACAGACAACACTTCAACATAACAAAATTAAATAAAAAATTTAAGAGAATTACTAAATAAAAAAACGTTAAAATTTTTATAAGATCTATTTAGGTTGTTTTTTCACCAGACAATCGAAGTACTAGTTCAACCTCCTTCGAACCACTTGAGAAATACAATATTAACATATTAATTAACATTTCTTTTAACGTAATTATATTATTTCAATAATATTGAATTATTTTTTTTCCTTGACCAAAATTAAAGACTATATCTCATAATATTGTAAATAATTTAAAACAATTACGTGCGTTAGAGTACACTTGTACAGCTCGTGTTCGGCTCGTTCGTTAAGAAATGAACACGAATAGTGACTGACTTCACGAACAATTTCGAACAACACGAACTTATTTCAAACAAACCGAACACGAACACAAGCTCTATCTATTCGTGTTCAGTTCATTTACACCCCTAATCACCACATCAAATGACACGTTACAATACTCATACGCAATAATTACATGAAAGCAAAATCAATGAAATAGAAGGAATTTTGTTCTAGCTTTTAACTTTCTTTAGCTTTTCTTACTTACATAGTACCTGCCATCTAGCCATACAACATATCATAATAATAAATATTTAAAAATATGTTTTAAAATAATTTTTATTTTTAAAACTTCACTTAAAAAATATATAATCTAACATTCAAGATATCTATGCTAAATTATGCATTGTTTCACTATTTAAGTGATAGCAGAAATCAATCACCCCTTAATTAAACATACAAAACTAGAAGAGATCTCAAATGGCCCCCTTTAATTCATGCAAATAACGCTTTGTTTGAAGGAACTTCACCGTTCGACAAAGCTCCTTAAGAAGTCACCTGCAGGGGACTCGTCGTGTCCATTCTAAAACGACGAAAACTCGCAATTCCATTGAATAATTTGGGGAGATGTCAGGATAAGCTATTTTTATCAAATGAAATATAAGTTAAGTGTCGGCGTTCGCACAACGGAAGGGAGGGTGATTGTGTTCTCAAAAGAATCATAAGATTTTCCTACTTTATCAGATTTCATTAGCAACCAACTCAAATAAATGGAATGTAATCAGCAAACATTTAAAAGCAAATCATGCAGAAGTTTTCTGGTTACATTCTGCATTGATTTGGGCCAGCAAAAACATTTAAGCGAGCACTGAAAGTTGAGATCCAGAAAACCTGGTTGCTATCTGGTGAAAGAAACCTGCAGCTATTGTAGTAGGGATGTCAAAAAAGCTCTTCGTTCACGAACAGTTCATGTTCAGCATGATAAGTAGTTCGCATTTGATTTGTTCTTTAAACAACTGAACCAAACAAGAACAAGCATTTTTAGTTTGAATTATAAACGAACCAAACACGAACAAGTTGCTCGATTGTGTTTGGTTCATTTTGATTTGAAATAAATACATATTTAAAACTTTAATATAATTATAAAATCTTATAGTAAAATTTCATGATATATTTGATGAAAAATTTTTAAAATATAAAATTTATTAAATTATTATAAAAAAGAATTTTAATTCTAAATTATCCAAAGTTGATATCCACTTTTTTTGGATAATTTTTTAATAAATAATTAAATTTATTATTTTTTAATTTTTTTAGCACATTTCAAACCGAACACGAACAATTCAAACAATTCATATTAAATTCAAACAAATCAAACAGGAACACCCATTTCACAAACAATTTTGAACACGGCCTATTTCAAACAGATTTAATTTCAAACGAACCAAATACGAACAGGAGCACTGTTCGCTCATGTTCAGTTCATTCACACATCTCACACTCTATAATAGTAGCAGAACTCAATCTCAACACAACAGAAAAGAAGCAAAGAAAACAAAGGATCTAACATTACAAAAAAAATAATGCTTACATTCTCATTTCCAAATTAGTTGCAGAAGAAGATTTCCTCTTCCTGGATTCAGATTCTGAATTAGCTGAAGATTTAATTGCTGTAACATCAATCGAGCTAACCTTTACGGGCTGGCCAATGCTTTCCCCAGCAGCTTTGGGATCATTTACATGATCATCATCATGAGCTTTTAAGCCTAAGCTCAGATCAAGATTGGTCTCTTTGGCATCTTCACTGTGTGTTTGTTCTTTCTCCGAAGCCTACATAAAATCAGTAGATGATAAATTCAATAGGTAAAGTTGCTATTTCAGACATTAAAGTAAATCATAGCTGCATCAGATAGAATTGTAGATTCAGAAACATAAAGAACAGTTCCATCATCATGAACATTAATCTTATTCCAACTTTCTTAAGGCATGAAAAAATAAACCTGATGGCAGAAAAGAAACTTTAACATCATCATAGAAATTTTGACAGAAGGGAGAAATCATTCATTTATCAATTCAGGCAAAGCGTTATGACCAGACCAAATCGCCACAGCACCGCATATTAGAGCTATCAAGTGGGACACACAAAGTCCCTTATAGGTTGGCTGGGTGGCCCAAATAGATATGAACTTGAATAGGCAACCATAATTGACTAGAGGCCACCCATGATCTCATTTTTCACATAAAAACCATCACATCTCGTGCAGTTTCACTCTGCCTAGAGTCAAACTATAAAACTACAATCTGAACTAATAAAAAAAGTTTATAAGCCAAACATAATTATCTTATTTTTTATAGTTAGCAGTTATGTATTATTTATGAGCACATAGTTACAGATCAAATAAATATTTTATATAAGATTTAGAAGATCATTTAAAATCAATAGGGTGCCGACCAGGAGTCAGCACAAATAAAATCAATTCCTTGTCTATTCGTATAAAAATCTAGTTCACGTTAAAACTATTAAATATCAATCAAAATAAA